TCTTTTCCTGCTCATACATGCTTGGAACGATCTTGCCACTAAAGTGGACGCGCAACGGGATATCATAGCGTGGCACGTTCATCATAGTTTAAACCCCTTGTTTTGCACAAAGGAATACGTCTGCAGCTAAACAGCCCAATAGCTTTTGTAATAGCTTTAACCCGGTCGGATTGGGCAGCAATGGGCTGCTTAAATACCGCAAACTCCTCTGCTCCTCCACTTGGATTGCTAGCGCTGGCCATAACTATTGCTTGACAGACCCACCACGCCACCATACACATACTTTTTTTTCTTCTTTTTCGAATCTTCGGATCACATGCGTGCCAAACCGTGGAGTGGGATCGGTTCGGATTACGGATCAACCGTGATCCGTTGCACCACTACAGGGCACATGGCCAGGTATCTTCCTTAGCTTATATAGCATAGCAATTTTGGTCAGTAAAGGAAAAAATGATTGATCATGGAAAAAATAACTAGAACATTATAATCTGTCATTGGAAAAAAATAAGGCTGGGCTTGAGCTAATGGTTTGTAAAGAGATGAATGATGGTAATAGTGTAATCATAATTCATGTCTCTTGCTGGCATTTTGTTGCTGCCATTGCAAATGCTTGCTGAACTACCGTATTTTTCGGATTATAAGGCGCGCTGTCGACAAACGGGTCGGTTTTCATAGATGAGACGCACCAGTATATGTTGTTCCAGTGTTTTTCTAATTTTTGCTATGTAACTTTGCACTGTCCACTTTCTGCTGTAACAAAACAAATTTCCCACGTGTGGGACTAATAAAGGTTATCTTATCTTACATTAATGACTAACCTCATATTGTGGCTGGATTATCTCAGTTGTTCTCCCCTACAGAAGTTTGGTCCGTTTACAGCAATTTTCCATGCGATTGCATTTATCAAAAAAATATCGGGAACTTTTATCAAGTGGAAAAAAGTTAGCGTTCAGGTTCACTGTGTTATGCTTTGTTATGCTAACATAGTTGTGTCGCTAGCGATCACTAGCACAGCATTATATACCATCTAGCCCTACTTCAGTAACCCTACAAACGTCACTATTGTGTAGTTTTCTGTCTTCATTCATGTTGGAAGTGATAGCAGAGCTGTACGTTTTATTTTTTTCCAGAAATCTCTCAGTCAGAACATGCTATATCATGTTTAGGTAACTAGCGAAACCAGCGAGCTAACTTCCTGCTAACTTCTAACTCCATTAAATTTAATAAATTCTATTTTCATGGATGCCTGGCTGTTAAACGTAATTGTTACACTTTGTAAAGCAGCAACGCTGATCATTTTATTAAAGATGAAAGAATTTACACAGTGTTCGTTTGACTGTGGGACCTTACGCGGACGGAGTTTTGGACCCAGATTACTATGAGTCGCGAGGCTCCTGACTACGGTAGCCATAACGCTTAGACAATCCATCAAGCGGTGCGGCTTCGTAGCGTACTAAAACATTTTTTGACAGATTTTTGAGTGTCGTGTACCACATAAAATTGGTTTGAGGTCAGTAAACACAGCCAGAATTCATAGATAAGGCGCACCAGATTATAAGGCGCTCTGCCAATTTTTGAGAAAATTAAAGGATTTTAAGTGTGCCTTATAGTGTGGAAAATGCGGTAGTCTCTGCTACATCAGCATTTACGTGCTCTAGGTGATCGATTCTGTAATTATCTTTCTTAAATGTGTTTTTTTTCTTCTTCTTCATTAAAAAGTGTTTTACCAGGTACTTTGCCTACCCTTCGTAGTTGTATGCATTCTTTATTCTCTTTGTCAACACTTTCTAAATACAGATTGGTTTGATTTTCACTCTTGCTTCATGCAAGTCTCTCGGAGGCTCTTCCTTTGTTATCCTATCATTGATCAACTGTGGAGGGCAGCACAAACAAATTTTTAATTTTGATTTTGATTTTGGCGTATCAGAATTAAAAGAACATGATCATACAATATTAAAAATGCATGCTCATCATATTGGCATATCATATTCAAAGAGTACTGTCTGTTTGCAGAGCAACTGAACCAATCTAACTAACCTTTACCCTGAAAACACACGACAGTCTGCGGTATAGTTAATGCGTAAAGACCAAGAAACACAACGTTCCTTATGTGAATCGTTCAAATTGTCAACTTGGATATCAGTAAAAATGAGCTTGTGCAGTGTGTCAGTGCAGCACAGTGTCAATGTGAAATCAGTGGTCTGTTAATTAATTTTGCTAAGTTTCAGTACAACGTTTTATACAAAGCAATGTTCTGTTTACATCAGAGTGCAGGGAATTCAACAAATGAATAATGATGACTTTACTATTGAACAACGTCACTTTGGACATAATTGTGTGGCTCTAGTTGGTTGGTTGATGTGTTAACAGCTATGCAGAGCAGTGCTAGACTGAATGGTTAAATGATTTTCCACATTGTTTGTAGCTCCTTTGGGCTGACCTGCTTTCAGCCAAATTCCTGCTCAGTGATGTTGCAGCAGTGTTTTACTCTAATGTTTCCATAGCAAAACAGTCTCCCAAACCAAACTGTGGTGTGGTCAATCAGTCTGTGTTTGCTTTTCTTTATTCCATGCAAGAGGGGTAGCATTCATTGTGATAAGGCCATGCTGGTCTTTCCTGTTTTAGAAATGCTTTTCATGTGTGAATGAAAGGGCTTCCTGCTGATCCAAGAATAGATGAGAGGGAAGCGAAACGCATAAACCTGTTTAGAAATATTGTGTAATAATAGCTTCTTCTTGTGTTTTTAAAATGTAGAAATACATCTGTTTGAATTAATGAGCACTCATTTGAAAGCAAACTAGTAGTTCATTTACACAGCAGCTGCATGGGATGTTGCCATAACTGAATAGTGAGTTCTTGGTTATGCTGAACATCTATTTAAATTAATTTAAGCTATGTAGTATCTCTTGCTGTGTTTTCATGAAACAAACTGTTGCTAGATATTAGTGAAAGCTGATGTGTTCAGGGTCAGAAGGATTCTCCACATAGGCCGTTTGTCCCATGTTTGAATAAATGTTGTCTTAGTAAACAAGGCTTCCATACTGGACAATGGCAACGATGAGAGGCATGGAAGCTGCAGTGACGTTACTGTATGATGTCACCTCTCCACTGTTCAAAAAAAAAAATGTTCAGATCAGTTTTCATTTCTTTCCTCATAGCTTGTAGTAAGACTTGTTCTGTACAGTTGTTTGTCATTGAGAGGGAACCAGGTTACACACTGTGTGGTTGGGGCAGGGTTGTGGAGAGGGTGTGTCCTGTCATTGATAAAAGGTCTCTTTCGTTGAGCAGTTTTCAGAACTGTGAGTGTGTTTGCTGATTAGAATTGAACTAGGCAAAATTTTTAGAAGGGGGTCAAATTTTTATCTCTAGAGTCTTAGAAATGAACATTTGCCAACAAAGATGGGAGTGATCCAATATGCTTAAAAAAACCCCCTCCAGCATAAAACATTTCAGCACTACAAGTGAATGTGTAAAATTTTATGGCTGGTTGATTTAAGCAGGCAGTAATAGTTTGTGCGCCTTTAACACACAGATTAAGATTTATTAAGCGTTATTATAAGTATAGTAACAGCTGTCTACTAAAAAGACACAAAAGATATGTTATGTCATTTGCACCCATGGATTTATTTTGAATAAAATGAGAAAGCATTGTAACATTTCTGAGGCCATTTTTCCTGAAAGCAAAGCATTATACAACCATTCCCAGCTTTATTCACATTACTGCAATAGGATATATGTTTATTTTTTGTAAATGATTGCTGTGCATGATATAGCAGTTATGTCTGATCAAAGATGCAAATACTTGGCCATAAATAAAAATGTATATACACGATAACGGTCTTGGGTTTAAACACAAAACCATGTTCTAAATAGTTGTGATTATTCAGCAGTTGTACAACTGTGGTGTATTACTCATTGACAGCCAAAAATTGGAGGAAGTTGCAACAGCAAAACATGGTGCATGGGATGGTTTTTGTAGTTTCATTTCCTTTAAATTTACGTTACACCAGTGTTGGCTGTATGTGGTTGATTATTGCCTTTTTCTTATTTTTCATGTTCAGTATTATTCGTATAGTTAAGCAATGAAAACTGCTTGTTCTTGATACTCTCGCTCAGAGCTGGCTTTGCCCATTGCTCCTCTGACTGTCCTCAGCAAGCACTGCTGTGTCAGGGTTTGTGTAAGGCAGGCAGGATACCCTGTTTCCAGCCTTTGTCAGTAAGCAGATCTGCAGAACTTGCTGGTGTTACATGCGGCAAATTGTTTCACACACAGCCCGAGGCTTTATTTTTATGCAGGTTAATTTTTTCACGTGTCCTGTCTCTCTTTTCATGGAACACCTACAAGTAATTGAAGCTAAAGCTAAGGCGTGCTCTAATGTACTTGAGTTTCTCTCAGGGATTCAAATTGGTGTTAATTTAGGTAAAACTTGGACAAAATAAAGCACCAGTGGCTGTCTATATGACGTGACAGAATCATCTTCATGCACTGATATTGGTATATATTGTGTTGGTAAACCAGCTCCTGTGAAACATAATAATTTCTGAGAAGTCAGACTTTGAATAGTTACTGTTAGTCAGACTAAAGAGACACTTGAGTGTTATGTAATGATGTTGCAGTTTCCTCTTTGGCCCATACTTTGAGAACTTGGCTGTGCATTAGCTCTCCACCCAGGCCAGGCAATAACTGTTACATCCAGTATAAAACTACGGGTGTCCAAAGAACTGCTGCCTAGCTCCAGTATGGCAAACTCATCCGCTCTCTGTGGTAGTGCACAGTAGCTGAGTTTAAAGTCCCAACATTCTTAGTGGACCCTGTTGTTTGGTCAACTCCTGGCATTAATTTGACTATAGATTTGTCAAAGGCTTAGGTTGAAATTGTGACAGGAACAATGTGACATATTGTTTCCCGAGATGATCTTCATATTTACCTAACGAACCTTTTGCTGCCCAGTTCTGTTCAGGCTCACATGGTTCTGCTTTTTTCCCCTCGTTTCTTTTAGCTCCAAAACTTAGGGATCAATCCGGCCAACATAGGCTTCAGCACCCTAACCATGGAGTCTGACAAGTTCATCTGTGTGCGTGAGAAGGTGGGTGAGCAGACTCAGGTGGTGATCATCGACTTGGCCGACCCCAACACACCTATCCGCAGGCCCATCTCAGCTGACAGCGCCATCATGAATCCAGCCAGCAAGGTCATTGCACTTAAAGGTATGGCAGTCTATTTACATTTCAAAGGCTGCATGTCTCTGAGTGCAGTGCATTACCACAGAGAGGAAAATGTGTTCAATCCTGTGTGTTAAATATCAGGGTTTAACACAAACGTTAACTAACCACTTGTAAGGGACTTACAGCATTTCATTAGGACATGTTTTTCTTCTATATAGCAACATGTTATCCATTTAAAATTTTAAGAATATTATGAATTATTTTCATTTATTTATGTCCATACACATCCAGCTACTTTAGTTTTCCATTGTGGTTAGTTTTTAATGGCCAACATGTATGTTTTTGTTTTTTTTCTTCCTCCAAACATTTGTCCTGTAAATACTCAGAATGGGATATTTTTATTCTTTTTGTCCAGCATCCATGATTGCTTTGACTTTTTTTGTTGTTTTTGTTTTTGTCTTCTCTTATTTTTTTTTCCTTTACTGCTTTCTTATGTGTTTGCAGACGGTGAGTTGAAATTTAACTACTTCATTGTGGAAGTAAAATCCTGTTTAAAGCAACATTTATAAGCTGAATATCCATTTGAAGCATAGAGACTACTGTAGAGTTTGTTTGCTCTTAGAGCTTCAGCACTAATGGGCTAGGTTTAAGTATTCTTCACACATATGTTTAACCAAGTTTTAGTGCATTCCTGAAATTCCTTTCCACATCTCAGCCAATATTCTATAAACAGGATTTAGCTTTCACAGTCTTACAGCTTGCTGGCATTTCATCATTTTTGTTTTATGTACAAGTGATTTAGAAACTGTTGCAAGTGTGATAATACTGTGGGTAAAATGATTTCATTTTAATTTGCATTTCTTGGTTTCCGTTTGAAATCCATGTCCTCTTCCATCTGTGTTATGTTGTAATTAACTTTCTTCATTTGTCTCAAAGCTATGCTTAATAATTTTTATTAATTGTTCACTGTAATAAGAACTAAATATTACAGTTTGTTACAAGACCAGAGAGCTCAGGAATTTATCTTGTAATCTGTGCGAGAAGTCTAATGCCACCTGTCATCAGCACTGACTTCACTTCACATGGTCCTAATGGGACTTTACTCTGTCACGTGTAGTGCCCGGTGAGGATTGAATTGGGTCAAAACATAGAATGAATAGTAATCTGTAAGGCTTGCTTGTCAGGGTGTGGAAATGATAAAATTATACTTATATGTGATTGCTATTAAGAATGATGAAAGTTGACTGTGGTAGCTTATCCAAGAGCTCAGAAACCTTGAGTATCCTCACGTGTTTAGCCCATGAGCTTTTACTTATGCACCTTTTTAAAGATTTTATGAGCAAAGCAATTTTGTTTTTGTTTTTTTGGGGGCAAAGCTTTGTCCCTGTGTTCTCAGTGATATTATGTCACGACTTGGTCATTTCACACACACATGCTGCAGCCCTGGTTTTGTTCAGGTTCATGCCTGATGGAGCTGCTTGTAAGAATGTGAGTGTCTCACTCACTCAGCTTAGACAGCTGCCTGCACCCATATCATGACACAGGTACTTGTTTGGTGATTGCACAATGAGCATGTGGGTGTTTTGGGTCCTGCCTCTTGCTGACGCAGGTCCAGGCAATAGTCTTGTCTAAATCAAGTGAATTTCCAGTAGGGATAACATGTATGACTCAGATTTTCTCCTGTTGTGTTGCATGTGTGATGGTGCACCTGTGGACAATGTGTCAACATGAGTCCCTCCACATTGTCCACTATTCATGTGTGGAAAACACACGGTATCAGTGATTTATTTATTGAGGGAAATGGTGTCCGTTTTTTTTAAGGCAGTTCATAAAAATGCTTAAAAAAAGTACCTTATCACAGCAAACAGGAGCTGTATATGTAAAGGAACAGGAAGCACAACAGTATATAGAGAGCAGCAGATGCAAACTGTTGCCTTGTGTTTTTGCAGTGTAAGGTCAGTGTAGCTCTTTCTTGTTCAGTCCCATAGTGATGATGCTTAGTTGACCTCGTCTTGTGACGCAGTTTGAGCGTTAACTCCTCCATGTAACCTATTGTGAAGGTTGACCACAAAACACACACGTACACACACACCGCCAGACGCTAATCATGATTGAATTTCAAATATTGCATGCTCTTTGAAATTTGGCTGCTACTGCTGCAAGTGGTCCATTTACCAATCTGCTTATTGTACTTTGGCTTAGTAATGGCAAAATAATCTTCACGGTTTGGCTGATGCATTGGTCTTCGCTTTTCTGACACAAGGTAAAAAGTGAAGAAGTGCCACTGCTTCTTAGTAAAGCTTTAGCTTCTCAAATTAACCCTAACTAATAATACAGAAAATGCAGGTGAGTGAACTTTCTTCTAATTGTTTCAAATATGTTTGAAACATTCCAAATATTGATTATTTTTTAGCACACTATTTAATATTCAAAACACCGTACTCTCTAGTCTGTGTTCTCTAATCTAGAAAGAGGTAGGCATGTATCGAACCATTCGGTGACGGTCGGCACCGCTAATCCTTCATTAATTTTGTCACACGTGGAAAATGACCTTTCTCAATAATTGTATTCATGTTGATAATTCTTCATGCAGTCAGTGGCAGTAAGCAGAAGAGTTTTTATTGGCTTCCATTGATGCACCATTTGGTTTATAATATAAATTATTATGCACTTAAGTTCACGTTGAGCCTATCGCACCTTTTGTATTCTGGATATAAATTCACTTTCTCCTTTTTTTCTCTCACTATACTTCATATGACAAAAATTGCAAAATGCAGCTTGTTCGATGTTTTTCATCTTATCAGTTGTGGCATTGTTGCTTGATGACCTCTGTGCCATCAAAACAACATTTCAAATTTCTTGTCTCTTTAAAAAAGAAAAACGGTGTGCTTATTTTCCTACGGGAGGTTTTTGTGTGCGTCTCTGTGTGCACAGACTCGCTCTTATCATGAGCTGTAACATTCTCCTGTGGCCTGGTTCCTGCCCTGTTTCTCCCCCTTGTAGCTGCCAAAACTCTTCAGATCTTTAACATTGAGATGAAGAGCAAGATGAAGGCGCACACCATGACCGACGATGTTACCTTTTGGAAGTGGATCTCTCTTAACACAGTTGCACTTGTGACTGACAATGCCGTCTACCATTGGAGCATGGAGGGTGACTCACAGCCTGTGAAAGTCTTTGACCGGCACTCTAGCCTGGCAGGCTGCCAGATCATCAACTACCGCACTGACGCCAAGCAGAAGTGGCTCCTGCTCATCGGCATCTCAGCTCAGGTAGTTTGTTCTGCATGTGTTCTGGTTTAACAAAAAACAAAGCCAAGGTTCGTAATCTATGGTCGAAGCATGTCAGTCACAAGGAATATGCATTCATAATTACCTTATGCATGTTTATATCTATCATTCTGGTGGGGGGGTTTGTTTTTTCTTTCAGCAAAATCGAGTGGTGGGAGCCATGCAGCTGTACTCTGTTGAGAGAAAGGTTTCTCAGCCCATTGAAGGCCACGCTGCCAGCTTCGCCCAGTTTAAGATAGAAGGCAATGCAGAAGAGTCAACTCTGTTCTGCTTCGCTGTCAGAGGCCAGGCTGGAGGGAAGGTGACTGGTTCTTACAAACATAATTGTGAAAAGTGATTTCTCTCGTATGGTTTTGTTACTAATGTTTTGTCCTCATCATAGTTGCACATCATTGAAGTGGGAACCCCACCAACTGGTAACCAGCCGTTTCCTAAGAAAGCAGTGGATGTCTTCTTCCCTCCAGAAGCCCAGAATGACTTCCCTGTAGCCATGCAGGTATGTTTGTAACTGAGCAGCTGGCTTTAACAGACTGAAATCAGTAGCATGAAAGGTAGTAGTAGGTTGGCAAAACTGTAGTTTATCAGTGTTTTAAAAGACCAGTTTGGCTGATGATGTGTGGTGATGTTTTTTTTTATTTTTTTAAATTGTTCATCATTTCTTTTACTGACAAGGAAATCACTGTTAGAATAACTTTCTTTATAGAGCGCCAAATCACAATAACAGTTGTCTCCGGGTGCTTAACCACCAGACCATTTGTCCACCAAATAGTGATGTACAACAAGCATCAGCCACTATGGTTGCTAAATGTCATCTTATTTGCTGGTAGGCCCGTATTTTCCATCATGGCTGGTCATCCGTGTATGTTACACACATAAAACCCACACTTTCAAAAGCAAGTTTGATTTCTGTAGACGTCCCTGACCTCTCGCTGAACTCAGAAATACATTTTGAGTAGGTGCTGTTTTGGTGATGTTTCAGATAGCAATGCACAGCTTTATGTAACGTCACTAAATTGGTTTTTGACAGATAAGCTCCAAGCACAATGTGGTTTTCCTCATTACCAAATATGGCTACATCCATCTCTATGACTTGGAGACTGGCACCTGCATCTACATGAACCGCATCAGTGGAGAGACCATCTTTGTCACCGCTCCACATGAGGCCACCTCAGGCATCATTGGGGTCAACAGGAAGGGGCAGGTAAGGATGTCATGATGTGCTAATTCTAACTGCTCACGGAAATTAAAGTGATGCTGGAGTTGCTGTCTTGTTCATGTCGAAACAGAAGGTGAAACCGTATATTTTCCACTCAGTTTCCTAAACATCTGTATATAATTTATCATAATATCTTCATTTATAGTTCAATTTTACTATTTAAATCTTGTTTCATCTCTAGTCCTAGTAATCAGCAAATATGACGCTGGGCAACAACAAACATCAGCTGACAGCAGCATCTCTTTGCTTGTCTGTTGTCATCAGGCAGGTTCACTTTGCCAGGAGTCATTATAAATAATCCAAGGTGTAGTGTTTCACATACAGAAAGCAGCGACTGTTGCGTCTTACTGCTTTTCTGAAGCAGAACCAGAGAAGAGAACTGGATACAGCCAGCTGATGAATAATGATCCAGCCAGGCCACACACCACATGAATAATTGAGCGCAGAGAGGAAAGCTGATCTCAGACTGTGACAGATCTCACAGTCTGCCAGAGCATTGCCTTTCTGTGTGTGTGTGTGTGTCTGTGTGTGTGTGTGTGTGCGCACGTGTGTGTGTGCGTGTGTGTGTGTGTGTGTGTGTGTGCATGCATCACAAGCACACAGAGACAGTGATCTGAGAGAGAATAGGCCACTGTCTGCGCCACTTACTGATTCTGGTTAACTGGGTTGGTTACCAGCAAAATTAGTAATTGGATACTGAGTAATAAATTACTCCAGTGCTATATACTTCCATCAAGTAGCCAGGTGAAAGGAAAATTAGCCTCAACTAAACTAGCAGCATAATGTTTACCGGGGCGGGGCGGTTAAATCCACATAACCATATTTTTATGGAAATGTTGGAGTAGAAAAACAGCACATCATTATTACCTCGTAAACATTTCAGGTGGGAAAACATCACATTATCATACAGTGCTAAGATATTGAGCTCATGAATGTAAAATCAGTGAGTGCATGCTCTATCCTGGCCTGTCAGTGACATGCATTGATTATAGGTGTAGCACTGAACTGCTGCACAGAAACCCGACAGGGGTGGAGGAGGTAACATGGAGAATTTAAATGACAGAGCACGGGTGGAAAAAGGCCCATGTCCCATCAGTGTGTGATGCAGAGTGGGAAGCACATCCTGGTGCTGTCTGTCAGTGTAGATCCTCTCGGTAGTGTCTGCCTGAAATGAGTTTTGCTATTTGTTCTTGGTGGATCTGTCTCAGCTAGGTTTATCACTTCATACTTGATATGTTTTCCTAGCATTTAGGAACAAAATGTTAGGCCACCCTGGGGTTAGTGTGCAGCTGGTCTCCCTCATGATAGTAATTATCTGACTTTAATATCAGCCTCTACAAGCGTACTGTCCTCTGGACACAAGCAGTGCGCACTGAGCAGAACACAGGATGAACACTAGGAAACCTTTTGTTAAACTCCTTCTTTTTTGTTTATTTTCATGTATTTACATTTCCACATTACTTCCATTTAGTCCAGTAACATTATAGTAAGTAATCCTGCTTGAGTCGTTGGCAGACTTCACACACAAGCCCTGTGTTACACTGAGCCACTAAAATAACATTTGCATTCAGCACCCATATCCCAGGGCTAGACGGAGTTTAATTTCATTGCACATACTTAAATTTAACATCTTGACTACTGATTTATTTATTTTTGCTTACCTGACAAAAGTGTATTGAATCATGTGGTCATAATGTATCTAAGATGAGTTCAAGTACAAAAGACTGTTTTTCCAATCAACGTTTCATTCATTCAACATGCCTGACATAAACTTCACAGATTGACTTGGACTTTAAAAATGTCTTTTCCTGTGGCACAGGTTCTGTCTGTCTGTGTGGAAGAAGAAAACATCATTCCCTACATCACCAACGTGCTGCAGAATCCAGATCTGGCTCTCCGCTTAGCTGTCCGCAACAACCTCACGGGAGCCGAAGAGCTGTTTGCACGCAAGTTCAACAACCTGTTTGCTGCTGGCAACTACTCCGAGGCCGCCAAGGTTGCTGCTAACGCACCAAAGGTACATTAGTGACTTTCATGGTCTTTTACTGCCCATTTTGTCTTTTATCATTGCTTTATGGCTTTTCTCATATTCTGCTGACATTTCTTCACTCAGGGCATCCTGCGCACTCCAGATACCATCCGTCGTTTCCAGAGTGTTCCCACTCAGCCTGGCCAAACCTCCCCCTTGCTGCAGTACTTTGGTATCCTGTTAGACCAGGGCCAGCTCAATAAGTTTGAGTCCCTGGAGCTTTGCAGGCCTGTCCTCCAGCAGGGGCGAAAGCAGCTTTTGGAAAAGTGGTTGAAGGAAGACAAGGTACTGTACATCCATCTAAGCGCCAGCTCGCAGGAAGTTGCTCTTCCTGAGTTGCCTGTTATGTTTACACAACTTGCCTGTTATCTTGGATCAAGCAGGATCACGTGATATGCAAGGAATTTAGGAAGTCCCCTTCAGAAACGTTGAATCTACAAATTCTCAATGGTTAAGAAAAAAGTGAATTATGCATTTGAGTTGATTTTCATTCACTTAATATTTGCTATATTTTCTATATCAGTGGAGAACCAATCCCAACAGTCTTAGAGAAGTCCATCAAGAGTCCATCAAAGTGTTAATACTATAATCTAGATCGGATCTCTAATCCCTAAACCTAACCAAGGAAGGTAAAAAGAAACTAAAATCTGGCAGAACAGCTTGTGTAACATCTAGTCCTTTTACTGAAACGGTGTTAAGATTTTTTAATTGTCATACATTTATTATTTGCATTTAAACAATGTTTTTTTTGGTTGTTGTTGTTGTTTTCTCATAATTGTCTCTCTTAAACGTCTGATGCTTCTTGTGTATTCCAGTTGGAGTGTTCTGAAGAACTGGGTGACTTGGTGAAGGCGGTGGATCCTACCTTGGCTCTCAGTGTGTACTTGAGGGCCAACGTTCCCAACAAGGTCATTCAGTGCTTTGCAGAGACTGGTCAGTTTCCTAAGATTGTCCTGTACGCCAAAAAGGTATGTCTAAGATTGCATCTGGCCATTACTTTTGATTATCTGTACTCTGGATTTTATTTATTTTTTTAATCTAGTTTAATGAAATTGGTTCTGACCATTGAGTGGAGAGAGCTTGTTGGTTATTGTAGCATTTTCTTTCTTTGTTCCAGGTCGGCTACACACCAGACTGGATCTTTCTGCTCAGGAATGTGATGCGGATCAATCCAGAACAGGGCCTGCAGTTCGCACAGATGCTAGTCCAAGATGAAGAGCCACTGGCTGACATTACACAGGTAGGATATGAAGGATGTGTAGTGATGCAGCATGTTTTTATTTTTGATACAGTAGTTCAACAGAGTTATTATTTTATTTTGAAATTGTGTTATGTGACCTTGAGGTCACTTAATTATCACTTTCTCTGTGATTAACCAGTCAGCCTGAATGTAAACAAATATAATTTAAGTGCAGAATCAGTTTACAGTTACAACAATTACAATGCAGACTTTATTTGCAGTAGGCATGGTTGCAAACCGTATATGTGTGAAGTTAGAGAAGCATGCGCGCTTCATGTTGTTTTCATGTTTATTTGTCAAGTACTTCGTAACAAATAAACAACTGACCAATACAAAGGACAATAGTCGTTGTTGTGCTCTGGAGCCTCCGTGATCTCAGTGTAGGGGCACATTAAGCAGTTCTCTGGCTGCCGCAGGTTCCGGTCAGTGTTTCTCTAGCTAGCAACAGAGCAACAAGGACTGCTGTCACCAGCTGCAGTTCAAGAAGGTGGAGTTAGCTGTATTTGGCCACAGAACCAGAGTCTCTCAGGGATGGCCTGAGAAAGACATTGAGGACCACTACAACAACAACCCGGCCACACAGCAAGGAGTGCAGGACAAGAAGGGTAGCTGGGTAGCATTAGCCGAACTTTCAAAATAAAGGCACGGGTGGTTCAGTAGTAAATTGAAAAGGATGTCATCATTCTGTTAGGCAGAAATAACAACTAAAAACAAAATACTATTTGGTGTTTATTATTGTGTCATATACTTATGCCTGCCTACTTCAGTGTGGAAAACACTGAATAAGTTTATTGAGCAGAAGTATTAGAGATGGCACGATACCACTTT